ACGGTGCAAAGTGACACGTCCACCAGAAAAAAAACATATGTCACTGGCAATATTATCCGTGCCTTATTTACTTTTTGGACTATCGATTGTGTAGGAAAAAGATGCATGTCTATCCGTCTAACTGTTTGTCTGTGTTTCTGTCTGCCTATCTGTCTGCCAGTCTCTGTATCTGTTTCTCTCTCTCTCTCTCTCTCTCTCTCTCTCTCTCTCTCTCTCTCTCTCTCTCTCTCTCTCTCTCTCTCTCTCTTTATATGTATGTATATGTATATATATATATATATATATATATATATATATATATATATATATATACATATATATATATATATATATATATATATATATATATATATAGATATAGATATAGATATATACATATACATATATATATATATATATATATATATATATATATATATATATATATATATATATACATATACATATACATATATATCCTTCTTTCTCCCCCATCTCTCCCCTTTCTCTTTTTATCTATCTGTCTATCTGTCTACCTGTCTTTCTCAGATTCCTTACCTCCTCCTCTCGCGTCCCTCCTATCTAACCTTCTTTCCTCCTTCCTAATTTGCATAATCATGCAACCCGAAGTATGCCTCACTCTTCCACACACACACACAAAAATCATTCATCTTTTTTCTCTCACGAATTATTGTAAGTTATATTTTTTTTCCTACTCATTAATCGAGAATCGTTTTTCTCACTGAAAAATCTCTTCTTCCAAACTGATGTCTAATTCACCCTCACGCTCGTTAAAAGACTTAACCACAATCTCATCGTATTTAGAAAGTACGTGGAAATCGCTCTAGAAATCAAGGTTTTCTCGAGCCACACGCTTCGGGCGGGCAGGGGAGGGGTGGGGTGGGGGGGGAGGAAGGGGAGAAAGAGGGAGGAGGGGGGGGGAGGGAGGTAGGGGGGTTAGGGTGGATAGAAAGGGGAGGGAGGCAGAAAGGGATGACGGAGAGAGAAGGGAGGGATAGAAAGGTGGAAAAAGGGAGGACGCAGGGAGGGAGGGAGGGAGGGAAGAAGGAGGGAGGACGAAAGAGGAAAGGAGGAAGAAGGCAGGCAGGAGGGAGGAGGGGGAAGAGAGTGGAGGGAGGAGGGAGGAGGGAGAAGGGAGGGAGGGAGAAGGGAGTTCCACGCGCTCGATTTCTCTCTCTCATCTGCTGCGTAACGTGTAAACAGAGGCAAGTGCGCGCGCTTCCATCATTTATCTTCACGTCTGTCTTTAATCATTGTCTTTCATTTCTCTAAATACTGATTTGAAAAGGAAAATAATTCAACCAACGAAGCCATCTTGGAAAAAAGGAGGCAGCAACAACAACAAATAAAATTATGCAATATCATAATCACAATGCAACACAGAACAACAACAAAACACATCATTATGATACAAGACGCGACGATGATATGGATCTTCCCTTTTCCGCCAAAACCAGTTTATTAATGTCGACCGTTTTAGCGTGGCACTTTCACCCTCTTCACCCCCCCCCCCACCCTCCCGCTCTTCGTTCCCTCCTTCGGCTTCATAGCAACGCGAGGATGTCGACACTACTTATGGCGTCGACTGTAGGTGTCTGGCCTCATTTCTCGTTCTTTAATTCCCTTCTTCTTCTGGCCTCAATTCCTCTTCTTTTTAAAAAAAATGAATCCTCGACTGTATGTGTCTGTCATCAGTTTCTTTTTCTAAACCCTCGACTGCATGTGTCTCTGGCCTCAATTATTCTTTTTAGTTACTCCTCAAGCAAGTCTGGTGCGACCACGGAGAAAACCCTCAATGCAAACAACTCCATCTCTCGAAGTATTTGTATGCTAAAATATGTTCGTTTTATGACCGTGCTAAAAGGTGGACTTCTCTTTAGGCAGACCAATTCTCGTTCCCGCACTGGTTGAACGCAAACCTTAAATGATACCTGGACTCCAAACAATTACTATGGTTGATGGGTTGTTTGAAGACCACGCTCTTCGTCATAGTTCACCGTTCAATAAATAGTTTTAGTCTAAAGGCTAAAAGAAAGAGAGAGAGAGAAAGAGAGAGAGAGAGAGAGAGAGAGAGAGAGAGAGAGAGAGAGAGAGAGAGAGAGAGAGAGAGAGAGAGAGAGAGAGAGAGAGAGAAGAGGAAGAGAGAAAGAAAGAAAGAAAGAAAAAGAGAGAAAGGGAGAAAACGATTCCTCCACTTTCTCTCAAGGTCCGACCCACACGCGTGTCCAAAAGCTCACATCCCAGCTGTTCTTACGGTGTCCAGGAAGCCCATACAAGTCCGCTGGTCACGTGACTTGCCTAATGAGCTGCTTACCTAATTAACATCCCGAGAAACACGTCTCATCTCCCCGGCCATTCACCACGCCATCCTTTCACTAGGAACTTGCCTGGTGTCTCTGGGCTAATTTTTTTGTCACTTCGTATCCAATCAGCTGGGGTAAAGTGGCTGACTGTCAGTTACATACGTTTCTCAGAGATTGTGTCGGTTAACGCTGGAATTGGCTTGCTTTTGGGGCACTGATTTTCCCAAGTGTTCGAGAGGGAGGGAGGGGGGTAGGGAGAGGGGGAGGGGAAAGGAGAGGGAGGGAAAGGGGAGGGGGGAGGGAGAGAGAGGAAGGGGAGGAAGAGAAACATACAAACAGACAAACAAAGACAAAAAAAATATTACCCTGCCATCTCCATAAAAGATAATGAATGATAATACATACCACACACCTTTACCCATATTAGAAAAAGCACGAATATCTAATACCTACCTACAAGAAAAAGCAAATATCATTTTATTTCAACAAAAACATTAGGACCAACAACCCTATATCCCCCCCGACAAACAAAAGAGTGACCCGAATGCCAAACCACACATCTATAAAATGAGTTTCATGCAATGGTCGCTTGACAGATGGATTTGCTTGACGTCTGTGACTGATAGGTCCGTGTGACAGACCTGTGTGATGGATGTATGACTTAACTGAATGTCAAAGCTAAGCCTGATAGTCGGTCCGGTCTGGGACTTTCACTGTCGCAATTAGGTCTGTGTGTGATTGCGTGTGTGTATGTTTTCTCTGCTATTGTGTGTCTGAGAGGGAGGGAGGGAGAGAGAGAGAGTGAGTGAGTGAGTGAGTGAGTGAGTGAGAGAGAGAGAGAGAGAGAGAGAGAGAGAGAGAGAGAGAGAGAGAGAGAGAGAGTGAGAGTGAGAGTGAGAGTGAGAGTGAGAGAGAGAGAGAATGTATAATTATCATTGATAAGTATGTATTCTGTAATGACATCATTCTTAAAGTGTGTCCATGCGTTAACAGTGTTATTACTATGTGTGTCCATGATAGTAGTGTCATATATTTGCATGATGACAAGGCTGATTTGATGTGAATATATGCTAATAGTGTCATTGTTGATATACCGATGTGTGGTTGTGTGGCTCATGAAGAGAAGGGGTACAGCTTATTAATATGAAGATGAAGTAACATGTAAGAGGCGTTAATTTTTTTTTCTTCTTCTTCTCCTTTGCTTCCTGACTTGTGCAAGAATTTCCCTCAGGTATATTTCGCAGAATTAAAGTGTTTTTTTTTTTCTTAGCATTTCTTGTCTGTTTGTTGCACATACTCAAACCTTCTCCACCAGTTATCATATCATTCATAAATCTATATTTTTTCCAAAGAATGATATATTTAAAAAAAATAAAATAAAAAATTCTCGAATGGCACATACCAAAACCCAACTCACACTCTGAACCTCGTAAAAGTAGTTCTTAAAAAAAAAAAAAAAAAAAGTGGACCCACGCCGACCACCGGCCAGTCAGAAAGAGTAGTTAGGTAGACCTGCTTCTACCGTCTACCTCTACGAATAGACGAGGTGAAAGGGTGCGCTTTCTACGAGGCAATTACCCTCTCACTGGGGTAGGTTGTTTGCTGGGTATGTTAATCAGCCTGCTATAATTATGTCTGGCTTAAACCCGCCTACCTTTCGGTTCTGGTGTTGATAAAGTAATTACTTGCTAATGATGGAATGATTATAGTAATTACGAATGCTCGATTGCAATGTTATTTGCATGAGGGGGATGTCTGTCTTTATCTTTTTTTTTCTCGTTGTGATAGATGTTGGGAAAGGTCTAAAAAATGAGAGAAAAAAGTTGATACTGGAAAAAAAGTGAAAAGAAAAATATCGTAATGTTAGGTTATTGCATTTCTTCGGGCGTTTTATTTATCTTTTCTTGCAGGAAAAATACAGAACGAACTTTTTAAAAAATCCCAGTAAAAGAAAACAGACAGACCAAGAAACGCCAACAAACAACAAATGACACATTTCCAATTTACATTTCTTTCCAACGTCTTCTCTTCCGATTTATATTACCGAACGATTAAATCTCTCTCAACAAAACTAAACGAACTTGTCTCATGCGAGTATTTTCTCTCCCGACTTTTCACTCGCTCGTTGCATTGCGAAAGGAGGAGTGACGAAGCGCGGTTGCCTCAGCACTGACCACGAGAAATCCTGCCACGTGAGAGTCGAAGAGGAGAGGCATGGGAAATCACTTGCTTTTTTTTCTTTTTCCCTACGAGTCGTGGGCCTGATAAGGAAAAATGTTTCCTGTCCATTTGTTTTTTTTTTATGTTTTATGGATGCGCGCGCGCGCATATGTGTGTGTGTGTGAGTGTGTGTGTGTGTGTGTGTATGTGTGTGTGTGTGTGTGTGTGTGTGTGTGTGTGTGTACACGCTCGCGCGCGTGTGCTTGTGTTTGCATCTGTGTCTGTGAAGGCAACTTCTGTCCAACCTCTGTATTTGCTCCTCGTATTATTTCCGCGTCTGTGTTTATCAACATTATTACTCCCATTTATTTCCTTCCTACCCCCTCCTTTCCCCTCTCTTCGCACCAACACCCCCCCCCGTCCCCCCCATCACCCCACTCCCCTTCAAAAAAAAAAAAGAAAAAAAAAAGTTCAAAATCTTGACACTCTTCTCAACCATTATTTATCTCACCCCCCCCCTCTTTCTCTCTCCTTCAGGAACTCCGCGACGCCTTTGAAGACGAAGGATCCAAGGTCAAGAAAGGCAAGCTCCTCCTAACCATGGCCGTCCCAGCTGGTCAGAACTACATCGATAAAGGCTACGACGTTCCCTCTCTCTCAAGGTGAGTCGAGGGCAAAGCAGGTCAGCTATTGGGGGGGGGGGGAAGGAGGAAGGAGGAAGGGTGGTAAAGGGAGGGGAAAACGAGGTCATAGGTCAGGGATAAGGGAGGAGGGAGGGAGGTGGTAAAGGAGGGGAAAACGGAGGGAAAAAAAGGGGAAGGGGAGGGGGAGGGGAAGTAGGAGGGTAAAGGAAGGGGAGGGAAGGGGAAGGGGATAAAGGGTGTGAGGAACAGGAGAGAAGGAAAGAGGAATTAGAAAAGGGTGTAAGAAAAAAAGAAGAGGGAAGGGAAGAGAAAGGGAAAGGGGGAAACGAAGAAAGGGGAGGGAATGGAAGCCAAGAGAGAAGGGAAGGAAGAGGAGGAAGGAAGAGAAGTTGAAAAGGTATGGGAAGGAGAACTGAAAAGGGAGGCAGAGGGGAATCCAGAAAGGTAGGAAGGGAATAGAGAGAAAAAAAAGAGGACAAAAATTGACGGGATAAAAGATGGAAGAGGGGGAAGACGAATCTAAAAAGGATAACAGAGAATTTAGAATTAAAACGAAGAAAAAAAAAACACAGCACAAAACGAATAATGACCAGAGAGAAGAAGAGAGAGAGAGAGAAAAAGAAAAAAATGAAAATGATTTAGCCTTCCCCAAAACCCCACGCTATTTCCGTGTTACGAAGCCGATAACAATGCAAAATATCCCCACTTACGCTTAACTAGAAACAAATCACGATAAACAAGCCAATAACGGGACCATTAACTGTGTGCTGGAATTGCTTGCACATTTCAGAAACCGTTGAAACAATAGCGACTCATTTTTGAAAGATATAACGGATCGGATATGAAAAGAGAAACAAAGAATAAAAATGACAATGATTTGAAAACTTGTCATACTTTTAACATGACATGAAACGCGTTAGTATCATCTTGTACATCGTCATAGAGTGACTCGTAGCTACAAATGATCAGGCAGATGTCATAAAGGTTCAGAGTGATATACTGTATATATATATATATATATATATATATATATATATATATATATATATATATATATATATATATATATATATATTTGATAATAAAGGAACTTAGCTGATAATTGTAGGAATTATATAAATATAAGTTGTATAGATTGTGCTGCTAATTATATAAACTTGTTGCTGTTACTGTTTATAATAGTAATAATTAGTATTGGTATTAGTATTAATTTTATTATGAAAAAAAGGATAGAAATTCGTGCAATAGAACATTAGTATTTTGAAATATTCATGTTTAAAGGATATCCAAAAGTATTTTCTTTAATGAATGATCAGGAGCTATTATTTAAAGCACATATAAATGGATAAATAGATAACGAAATAAAAAAATATATATTTAATCAGATAAGCCGTATAACTATGGGGTTGGTATACCAAATTTCACAAAAGTACGGAAAAGCTGGGAAAGGGCAGTGCGCAGAGAATATTTAAGTCTCCCTTGATAATCGATTAAAAATATCAAAAGAAAATCGACGTTCAAGGTGAAATTGAGGATTTCTCTTCATGCAACAATTACCGTAACAACGTTTTTCCTCTCTTAAACAACCTCTTCTCATCCTTAACAACCTCTTTCCCCCATTTACAACATAACAACCGTTTTCAGTAGTTTAGAACAACCTCTTCCTCACATTTTTACATGTTTTTTTTTTTTAATACTTTAAAACAAGGCGCGACGACAGTGCAGTGACCGTGGGCTGGGCAGATTTATGGCGAAACTTGCAAGAACGTGGCTTTATATATTTATTGTTCTCTTGTCTTCTTCCCACACGCTGTCTTTTCCATCCGACTCTCCCCCTCCCCTCCATTCTCTTCCCCAATCTCCCATACGGTCTCTTTTCCCTCCCCTTACCCACTTTCCTTCCTTCCCCCTTCCTATTTTTCCCTCCCACTCTCTCTTTCCTTCCTTTCCCACCCACCCTCTCTCCTCCCTGCTTTCGTTCTTACCCCCTCTCCCTCTCCCCTATTTCCACCCACCTCCCAACTGCATTCTCTCCCTTTTCCCTTCCTTGCCACCCTCTCTCCTTCCCGCACTCCCACACGCCTTCTCCCCCCCCCCCTTCCCTCCCAACTTCCACCCACCCTCTCTTCCTCCTTCCTTCACCCTCCACCCACTCGTCCTCTCTCCATCTTTCCCTCCCACACGCTCTCTCTCTCTCCCCCACTCTTTCCCGCCCACCCTCTCTCCCTCCCCCATTCCATCTCACCTCCCACCCGTCCGCTTCTCTCCCCCCCCCTTCTTCCCTCTCTCCTTCCTCCCACCCACCTCTCACCCTCCCTCCACTAACCACCCACCCGCCTTCGGAGACCCCCCACCCCACCCCGCCCACTCGCTCGCAATGGTTACAATCTCCTAAAAGCAACGGTGACGGTGGAGCTGACTGGAAGGGCGTTTTAGCTCGAAGGCGTGTGGGCGGCCAACGACATTCAGCGGTCGTTCGGGAGGCGTCCGTTCTATCGGGGGGGAGGGGGGGAGTGTATAAGAATTTTGCAAATTGTGACGATTTGCATAGAGGGAGGAGGAGAGGAAGAGGGAGAGGGAGAGGGTGAGGGTGAGGGTGAGGGAGGGGGAGAGGGAGGAGGGTGGAAGGAAATTGAGAAATGAGGAAAGGAGAAGGGAGAGGGGAGAAGGGAGAAATGAGGAAAAAATAGAGAGAGGGAAAAGGGAAAACAGGAAAGGATAGGGGAAAAATTGAGGGAGGGAGAAGGAGAGGGAAAGGGATGAAAATGAGAAGGGAGAAATGAAGGAGGAGGAAAGAATGAAGTAGAGAGAAAAAAGAGAATAAAGAAAGAATGAAAAGAAAAGAAAGGAAAGAGAGAAGGTACAAACAGTTAAATGAAGACTATCCGCAACGCAAGCACAGGGAGTGTTTGCAAGAAATCGAGCAAGCAGGCCGCCAGTCCTTCTCTCACGAAGCTCAAAGAGAGAGTGTTGTGTGGCTGGCCTGCACTCCTCGCCAGAAACGTGACCTAGCATACAGGGAAATATTTTGTACAGGGTTAAAAAGCCGTTTTGTTTCTGAAACTTTATTACCTTGATGCGTGTTTCTTTATTTATTTTTTTATTTATTTGTGTATTTATTATTGTTTATATATTCATATATTTATTTATGTTTTTATCATTTTAGTTATTGTTAACTAACGCTTACATTTATGATAATCCTCAGTCTACACTTTTGGATGAACAACAAAACAATTAATGATAAATAGATAGGTAAATGAATAATAAATTAACAAATAATATAAATAGACATAAAATAGATAAATAAATAACCAAATAAGTATAATAATAAACATACAAAAAATATAACCAACCAACCAGCTAACCACTTATTCCCCGCTTTGCAGAGACCTGGATTTCATCAACATCCTCAACTACGACTACCACAGCGCCTACGAGCCTACCATTAACCACCACGCTGCCCTCCTCCCCGCCCCTGGTACCTCCGAGTACGAGTGGAACGCCCAGCTCAATGTGGTAGGTGGATGAGGCTGTTGCTGTGGGTGTTTGTGTGGTTGTTATGGTTATGGGTGGTTGAGTGTGGTTGTTATGGTTGTGGGTGGTTGAGTGTGGTTGTTATGGTTGTGGGTGGTTGTCTGTGGTTGTTATGGTTGTGGATAGTTGTTTTGTGGTTATGATTGTGGGTGGGTGTTTGTGTGGTTATGGTTGTGGATGATATTCTTGCGAATCTATTTGAGTGGTTGTTATATTGTTGTAAATATATATATATATATATTTTATCTCCTTATCATTCTTCTTGATAATTTTCTTTATCAGGACTGGACCGTGAAATACTACATCTCCCTCGGCGCAGAGAGACAGAAGCTGGTTATCGGCATTCCGACATACGGCCGTTCATACACGCTTCTCGATGGAAATTTCACTGACTTCGGGGCCTCGGCTGACGGTCCGGGCGAGCAGGGAAAATATACCAAAGAAAACGGGTTCATGGCTTTCTATGAGGTGTGTTGGAAGGGTTTTTGTTGTTATTAATTTGTTATTATTATCACTGGTGTTGATGTTATTATATTCAAAAGAAGTTTTAGAAATAGTACTGATATACATGTCTTGTTGCTATGATAGTTATTATTGTTATTGGTAATGTTAATATTATTATCATTAACAGCAGTTTTACCAATATACTTAGTGGTGATAATAAACAGCAATCCTGATTTTCCCACACACAAAAAAGAAAAGAAAAAATAGGCATAATTAAGTTAAAATAAACGTTTTCTCTCCACTTCCTTGCCCACGTTCACTCGTTCTCCCATTGTATCCGTTTACGATATTAATACACATCTACCAAGCATTAACACGACTTATAAATCAACAGGTTTGCGAGAATATTGCCTCGCACGGATGGGACGTAAGAAAGCCCTACCCGCGTCGTATCGGTCCTTATGCCTACAGTGGAGACCAATGGGTTGGTTACGACGATGAAAAGATTGTTGCCAGAAAGGTGAGATACGTTGGTGTTTTTAGGGTGATTTTTTTTTATTTTTTTTAAAGAGATGTGTGTATATTTCTTTCTGTGGGTTTCATGAGGCAGAGGGGAATGTTGAGGATTTGTTTTAGGTGATTGTTTTTTTTTTCGTTGTGTTCGTTATATTTTTAAGAAGTTATTGTGTGTCTTTTTTTTTTAGATTTCTTTTATGAGAGAACTTTCTTAACAGGAATTGGCATTCTGATAAAAGAAATTCTACCTTCATTAACCCCTCCCAAAAAATAAATTGTCATCCGTCCAAATTCCAACCAATAAAAATACTAAATAAATCATACACAAAAAGAACTTAAAATGAAATTTCTCCATTTTCTCTTTGCAGGTATTTCCCCATTTTCTATACATTTCTCCATTTTCTTTTCCCCAGCCGTTTCCCCATTTTCTATACATTTCTCCATTTTCTACAAATTTCCCCATTTTCTCTTTCTCTTCGCAGGCGGAATACGTGCGCGAAGAAGACCTCGGTGGTATTATGTTCTGGAGTCTCGATAACGATGATTTCCGGGGCATTTGCAACGGCGAGCAATACCCACTCGTTGAGGCGGGCAAGAAGGCACTCTTTGGCGCTGAAGAAACCCAGACCAACGAAGCCAGGAAACTCACATCCACGTCAAGGTAGGTTCACGTTGATGGTGTCGATGGTCGTGAGAAAATGCGTGGTGGGAAATTCAGGAATAGCGAAAACGGTAGTTGGGAAAGGTGTTTTAGAAGAAGAGGTAATGGTAGAGAGAATAAAGGAGGAGAATGGACGAGAGGAAGACGGTCGTTTTTTTCCGTAGAATTTTGGGGTTTTTGTTCTTGGCTAACCGGGAACCAACTTGGATTTCCGTCAGTGTGTGTGTGTGTGTGCGTGAGTAAAGTGTAGTTAGTAGAGAGACCAGGAAAGCATAATAGATTATCACACTAGTCCCTTATTTTTGGACAGAACACAGGATCTATTGGTATTTAGTTTCAGACAATTAGCCTCATAGTTTTTTTTCCCTGGTTGTGGACATGCTTATTCTACAGGAGTACTGCAAAGGGGGGGAGTGGTATTAGAACCAGTAGTGCAGTTACACCACCAAGGTAAAAACAGAGAGTTACCCAAAATACATACAACAGACACGTAGTAATGTTTTTTTTTGTGCCTTACCTTTAAGAGAGGCATAGGCTGGAATTTAGAAGCTTCCCACATGATAGAGTTTCCGTTTTTCTCTTCACTTGTAGCATCGTGAGAGGGCATGGGTATCTTAGAAGCGAGTGAGCGGGCTTTGTATTCTGACAGGTACTCACTTATGTCACTTATATCTAAATGTGTATACGCACATGCATTATTCGCTCATGAAAGAGTCATTTACAAGGCTCATGGAAGTCATAGCATCATATGTATTCACTCATGAGTCATTTATCATGGAAGTCAGAATATCAAAGTCCGTTTCGCACGATTCGTACACGTCATTCCTCCTTCTCGCTTGGTTTATAAAAAGGGAGACAATATCTCTAGACAAACGAACACTAACTCCCTCAGCACAAGAGGGTCGGTCTCAGACACCCAGCGCCAAAGAAACACGTTCCGCACCACGACCCAGGAACCAGAACCGCAACAACCGCGCCGACGCCCCTCCACCACGAGAGGAACCCAAGGCAGCACCAGAACCCGAGGACGCTTCAGAACCCAGGACACCACCACCACTACCCCAGAGCCCTTCAGAACCGCCGAGGGTGGTTCGTCCGCCCGCGCCGGTCAAAGGGTTCGCGGTGGAACCCAATTCAGGGGCGCTAGACCGCAGACTGACACTGATAGATCCACTAGAGTTCGCGTCAGGTACACGGAAGCCACAGTCAGCAGCTTATATATATTTTTAAGGGAGGCTTTCGACTGGCTTGGCTGGGCGTGGGTTGACCTGGCTTAGCTTGGCAGGTGGTGATGGATATACATATTTCTGCTTGCGAATGTGAAGGTTTTTGCGAGTCCCGTTTGCAGACAGGAGGGGCTCAAATGCTGTCCTTTTTTTATTAATTTTATAAATCTTATATAAATTTATTGGATGTTGAAATCATTGATTTCTTTTGCAGGTGTCTCAGTCGATGGGAGTATACCATAATAACGATATAATAAACATATTGAATAATAATAAAGCCATTAATGTTCTTGCATTTTTTTCTAAAGTAAAACTCCCTTCTCTCCCAAAAATGTACACAGAATTGGTATAATAAAATAAACATGAAAACCCTTTCGATTTAAAATTGCATGGACAAAATTCATTTTCTTTTGCATGGATTTTCTTACTTTCTCCCCCTTTCGTATCCCTCAATGCAAAATTTTCCTGAATTGCATGATTCTTCACCCCCCCCCCCCAGTCCCCCTTTCTTTCTTGACTAATGGCTATGCATGAACGTTATTTAAAGCATGTCTTTGAGAATGTATCTTTTATAGAATTTCAGTTACAGAATCTTCAGCCTGGCGTCTCTGAAAACTGGTGACAGATTTGGCACAGTTTCATGTCGGATATCTTTGTAGTCCTTGAAGTTATATAATCACTTTCAAAGTCTCTCTTTTCCTGATAGTCACTTTCAAATTCTCTATTTTCTTAATAGTCACTTTCAAGTTCTCTCTTTTCTTGATAGTCTCTTTCAAATTCTCTCTTTTCTTGATAGTCATTTTCAAATTTTCTCTTTTCCTCATGGTCATTTTCAAATTATTTTTTCCCTAAAGGTAATCACCCCGTTTCCTTTATCAGACTTAGTCCATATATTTCCTCTTCCTTTTATACTGCCCCTAATGCACGCACGAATACTATTCTCCCAACCGGCTTGAGTTGTCTCCTCATAAACACTACGTTCGTTTCCCTCTCGACCCACCCACCGGCCGTTAAATCCCCATTTCGAAAACGTTTAATGACGTCACTTCCTCTCCCTCAGCAACGAAAGGCCCCGCGGCACTAGCCTCACCACACGCCTTAACCGCCCACGGACAAGGACCACGCCCGCCCCCACTACGACGACCACCACCACGCCCAGGTAAGGAACTTGGAGGGGGTTAAGGACTTAAATTGAAGCTGTTTATGTGGGTACGTGTGTAGGTATGTGTGCATGTATATGGAAGGGTATGGATGAATGAATGTGTTTATGTCTGTATGAATGGATGGATATGTTTGTGTGTGTATGTATATGTATGCGTGGATTGATGAATGAATGTATTTACGTGCATGTATGTATGTATGTATGTATGTATTTACGTGTATGTATGTATATATGCGTATATGTTAGCATGCCTGCGCAGTATGGATACATGCATAAACATAATGGATAATAATAAAACCATTTATGTTTTTGCAACTCTTTTCTTAATTAAAGCTCTCTTCTCTCCTCAAAATATACTCAGAATTGGTATAACAAAATAATCATAAGAACCTTTTCGATTTACAATTGTACTGAAACTCAACACTGAAATCAATCACACTGAAACTCAACACTGAAATCAATCACACTGAAATTCAACACTGAAATTAATTACTGAAATTAATCACACTGAACCTCAACACTGAAATTAATCACTGAAATGAATCACACTGAAACTCAACACTGAAATCAATCACATTCAAATTGAAATCATCACCGCACCACTTTCTCAGGCCTACCAGACCAACCACGCCCGCCCGCACGCCCTTACGCCGCCGCCGCCCGGGAGCACGCCCACAGAACAGGCGCCAGCAACAAACCACCACCATTGACCCTCTCAACACGCCCGCCCCCCCCACGACGCCAAGCCCATCAACTGGTGATTATAACTGCGGATTTTTTGCTTTGGTGTTGTTAGCGTTGTTGATCACATTATTATTATTGTTATTGTTATTGTTATTGTTGTTATTATTATTGTTATTATTATTATTATTGTTATTGTTATTTTTATTATTATTATTGTTATTATTATTATTATTGTTATTGTTATTGTTGATTTGTTGTTATTATTATTATTGTTGTTATTATTATTGATATTGTTATTGTTATTATTATTATTGTTATTATTATTATTATTGTTATTGTTATTGTTGATTTGTTGTTGCTATTATTATTATTGTTAATGTTGTTGTCATTATTATTAGGATTAGTATTACTATTATTATATGACTACTATTAAAATTACTATTCTTAGCATCATCATCACACAATAAGGAAAATGAAATAGACACAAATCTTTATTTCTACTTTTTTTCTCTCTCTCTATCTAGGATTCTCATGCAAACGTGAAGGTTTCTACCCCAACCCTGATAACTGCCACAAATACTACTGGTGCCTGGATTCCGGTGCCTCGGGACTTGGCATTGTGGCACACAGCTTCACCTGCCCCTCGGGTATGGCGCCTCTGCAAGGAGGATTGATTTTCGTTGTTTTGTTTTTGTTTTGTTTGGATTTTTTGTCTGTTTGAGTTGTTTCTGTTTGTCTTTCTGTTTCTGATTCATATTCTCACTCACTCTCTCTCTCTCTCTCTCTCTCTCTCTCTCTCTCTCTCTCTCTCTCTCTCTCTCTCTCTCTCTCTCTCTCTCTCTCTCTCTCTCTCTCTCTCTCTCTCTCTCGGTTCTTCTCTCTCTCTCTCTCTCGGTTCTTCTCTCTCTCTCTCTCTCCTCTCTTTTGTCTCTTTTCTCCTCTCCTTCCTTCTTCCCTTCTACCTTCCTCCCCTCCCTCCCTTCCTCCCTCCCTTGTCTCTCCCCTACCCACCTCTCCTTTCTCCCCTCCCTCCCTCCCCCCCACCCCCCCACCCCCCCACCCACCTACCTACCCTCCCCCCCTCCCTCTTTACCCCCCCTTTCCTCCTTCCCCCCCACCCTCTCCTCCTTCCTCCCCCCCCCACCCTTCCCTCCCTCTTTACCCACCCACCCTCCTTCCCTCCCATTACTAATTATTCCTCTCACCCCCCTCCCCCCTCCTCCTCAGACCTGGTGTTCAATAAGGTGATCGACGGGTGCGACCACCCCGACCGCGCTAAGTGTTCGACGGAGAAGAAGAGCCGCGGGGGGGCAGGTGCTACGACCCCTCGCTCCTCCACCCCCATCCCCACCACCACCGAAATCCCCGTGGACTACTCCTATATGGACGACTACTACTACTACGACTACGAGGAGGAACTGATTGAGCCCGAGGTGGTGGAACCCGTGTCGAACGCCGTGGCTAGGAAGTGAGTTTTTTTGTTTTGTTTTTGTGTTTGTTTGTTTGTTCAGCGTGGTCGTGCGAAAGCACAAGCGCACACAAACAAAAAAACACGTACACGTACACATGCACAAATACAAATACAAATACAAATACATACATATACATATACATATACTTGTACACATGCACATATACAAACACAAATACAAATACAAATACATACATATACATATGCTTGTACACATACGCATACACAAATACAAATACAAATACAAATACAAATACAAATACATATACATATACATATACATATACATATACATATACATGTACATATACACATACACATGTACATACACATACACTCACACACATACACTCCTATGAAAACACCAGATACCCAGTGCTTATATTATGAGAATCACCGAGGATGAATTAATCTGCTTGATTCAAAATACATAAGTCATAATATATTCACAACCTCCCTTTCGTGGCATTAATAACAACCCTGTTTTGTTAACGAAGGATCCACAACTCCGGCGGGAACCAGTTCGTGATCTCAGACGCGCCCGCGGAGGAGCCAGCAGCCCCTTCGTCACGAGGTCCCGGCAGCCGGTCCAGACCCCAGTACCAGAGCATCGCCAGGTACGCCAGGTTCTTTGGTATTTCTTTGGTATTTCTTTGGTATTTCTTTGGTATTCCTTCTTAAATGTTTTCTTTTTCTTTTTCTTTTTTTTATAGCAAGGTTGTTGTTTTTGGTTTTTAGTTTTCTTAATTTTTTTTTCGTTTTTGTGTGTTCGGGGTTCGCTTTTTTTAATGTTAATGTTTGATGTTTTTTAATGTTGGATAATTTCTTTTTTTTTTTTGCATTAGTCCTCAATGTTCTCTGTTTCCTCGCCAGACAACAGGCGCAACCAGCAGCGGCGGCAGAAGAGGATAGTCCGTCCCCCGCCGAGCCTGAGACCCGAGGCGACCCCCTCCGCCAGTACACGACGATCCAGCGGTCGCGCCCCCCCCGCCCGCAGGCCGCCGCCAGGGAGCAGGAGGAGACGGAGGCCCCAGAAGCCGGTGGCAGCGCGGGAGGACGCAGGAACTACGTGAACATTGAGAGGCCCCGTCGCCCGGGCGCCAGGTCCGACGCCACCGAGGCGCCCTTCGAGTCCTTCGAGCCGACGCAGCCCACCCTTGAGTACGTGACCATTCGGCGTGACCGTGACAGGACCCCTATCCCCCCCTCCCCCTCTGACACCCCCCTCTCGCCCTCCTCCCCCGTGGAGGAACCCCAGCAGACGAGGCTCGCCCAGGGCCCCACCACTCCCAGGTACCGTCGCCTTGTGTTTCAAAAGAGGCCGTCGGGAGCTTCAGTGGAATACGCATTCCCCTTGCGGTCGGAGGCGTTGCTTGGCACCCGATCTGGGTGGCGGTCGGCGGAATGCGATGCGCTTTTGTCTGTCCTTCGTTAGGTGCCGCTTCCGCTTCGTGGTCTTCGTCTTTTTTATGTTTTTTTGTTTGTTTGTCCAGATCTCTCTTGCTTATTAATGTGTTCTTTTTCTATTTTTTATTTCTAACACTTTCTCGCTCTCAAAATAACCCGTTGTTGGTGTGGTTCTGTTGCTGAAGATGAAGCTGAACTGCTTTTCGCTACAATTAATGTGATGTTAATGATAATAACCGTGAAATTTATATGAAATATTACAGTCAATGATAATATTCCTACTAATTTAACTATACTACTACTATTAATACTACTGTTACTACACTACTGCTTATTACCACTACTGTTACTACTACTACTGCTGCTACTTCTACTGCTATTATTATCATTGTTATTATTGTTATAATCTGTGTTACTGCTATTTTCATTCTAATTCTTATTCTCACTCTTCTGCTTGATATTATTACCATTAGTATCGTGTTCCATATTGGCATTGTTATTAGCAGCAGTAGTAGAAGAACAGTGTATGTATAGGAGTTACTGAACATTGATAAAAAGGAAAAACCACCTGCTGACCTTTGACCCGATTCCACAGGTACGTGACCCTGCAAAGACGTACCAGCACGACCTCACAGCCCAGCACGACCGCCGAGGAAGAGCTCCCCACGACCTTTGAGGAAACGACCGTCGCCTCGACCTTCCCCGTAAGTGCGCCCCCCGTCAAGTACCGCCCACTTGTGGTACGACCCTCCTCCACCCCCTCCGGCATTGCCACGCCCACCCCTATCTTGGACATTGAGGAAAACCTTTTGCATGAAGTTGCCCCTCCCGACTCTGCCGATCAGAGGCCCTCCCCTCCCCCCCTTTCCGCTGATCAGCAGACAGCAGGTGTTCAGCCCCCCCTCCTCCAGGCAGATCATACCCCTCCTCTACCTCCTCCCCCTTCCGTTCAGGCGACCTCTGAGTCCCCTGAGATCTTAGTTCAACCTCCCGCGGAAGACCAACGTGACCTGTTTGACCCAAGCGAACTAACCGGATCGGCGGTCCCCGCTCGAGGAAGGGTCAGCTCGAGGACACGGGTCGCAGGGCTCGATCATGAGAATAATCTTGTAGTGAAGGTCGTGCGGGGTCGTAAAAGGGTCAGGGTGTCGTCTGCGTCTTCCCGCACGACGGTCAGTCCTGTGTCAGAGTCGGCGGTCGTGACCCCTGCTGACCTGGCACCAGAGGTCGTTTCTGTTCACGACTACGAAAATGCTATCGCCCCGGAGGATTTTGACGTCCAAGTGTCGGGTTCGCACGAGACTCGTGGCTCTGTTACTGCATCTTTAGCCAGAGGGTCCCTTGATGCATCTGTCGACATCAGTGGTAGTGTTCCTTTCGGTGTTAAAGGCACTGGTGATTCTTCTGTTGCACCTTCTGGTGTTAGGGGCACTGCTATTGTCGCTGGCACTGCTGGTGTCACCGGTATTACTGTCTCTCAGAGCTCGCATGGTGCCACTGATACCCATGCCTTTGAAGCTAATGACATTACGGCATCACGTGGCACTCATCTTTCCCATGCCTCGACCTCCTCCCGAGGCACTGTTACTTCTCATTCCATCGACACTTCCCTTGGCATTCAGGGAGGAAGCGACTCTGTGTATGGAACAGTTACAGCCTCCCGTGGCACTGCTGCTTCACGTGGCACTGTTGCATCACAAGATGTTGCTGGCTTTATTGGCACAAGTGATTCAGATAACATCATAGTCTCTCACGGAACTCTTGCTTCTCATGAAGTCACTGCTTCACGTGGCACTGTTGCCTCTCATGATGTTGCCAGTTCACGTGGCACTGTTGCTTCTCATGATGTTGCCAGCTCACGTGGCACAGTTGCTTCTCATGATGTTGCCAGTTCACATGGCACTGTTGCTTCTCATAATGTTGCCAGCTCCCGTGGCACTGTTGCCTCTCATGATGTTGCCAGCTCCCGTGGCACTGTTTCCTCTCATGATGTTGCCAGCTCCCGTGGCACTGTTTCCTCTCATGATGTTGCCAGCTCACGTGGCACTGTTTCCTCTCATGATTTTGACACGTCTCGTGGCACTGTAGCTTCTCATGACGTTGCCAGCTCACGTGGCACTGTTGCTTCTCATGACGCTGCCAGCTCACGTGGCACTGTTTCCTCTCATGATTTTGACACGTCTCGTGGCACTGTAGCTTCTCATGATGTTGCCAGCTCACGTGGCGCTGTTGCTTCTCATGACGTTGTCAGCTCACGTGGCACTGTTGCCTCTCATGATGTTGCCAGCTCACGTGGCACTGTTTCCTCTCATGATTTTGACACGTCTCGTGGCACTGTAGCTTCTCATGAAGTTGCCAGCTCACGTGGCACTGTTTCCTCTCATGATTTCGATACGTCTCGTGGCACTGTAGCTTCTCACGATGTTGCCAGCTCACGTGGCACTGTTTCCTCTCATGATTTTGACACGTCTCGTGGCACTGTAGCTTCTCACGATGTTGCCAGCTCACGTGGCACTGTTTCCTCTCATGATTTTGACACGTCTCGTGGTACTGTAGCTTCTCATGACGTTGCCAGCTCACGTGGCACTGTTTCCTCTCATGATGTTGCCAGCTCACGTGGCAATGTTGCCTCTCATGATGTTGCCAGCTCACGTGGCAATGTTGCCTCTCATGATGTTGCCAGCTCACGTGGCACTGTTGCTTCTCATGACGTTGCCAGCTCACGTGGCACTGTTGCCTCTCATGATGTTACCAGCTCACGTGGCACTGTTGGCTCTCATGATGTTGCCAGCTCCCGTGGCACTGTTTCCTCTCATGATTTTGACACGTCTCGTGGCACTGTTGCTTCTCATGATGATGCAAGCTCACGTGGCACTGTTGCCTCTCATGATGTTGCCAGTTCTCGTGGCACTGTTGGCTCTCATGACGTTGCCAGCTCACGTGGCACTGTTGCCTCTCATGATGTTGCCAGCTCACGTGGCACTGTTGCCTCTCATGATGTTGCCAGCTCACGTGGCACTGTTGCCTCTCATGATGTTGCCAGCTCACGTGGCACTGTTGCCTCTCATGATGTTACCAGCTCACGTGGCACTGTTGGCTCTCATAATGTTGCCAGCTCCCGTGGCACTGTTTCCTCTCATGATTTTGACACGTCTCGTGGCACTGTTGCTTCTCATGATGATGCAAGCTCACGTGGCACTGTTGCCTCTCATGATGTTGCCAGTTCACGTGGCACTGTTGGCTCTCATGACGTTGCCAGCTCACGTGGCACTGTTGCCTCTCATGATGTTGCCAGCTCACGTGGCACTGTTGCCTCTCATGATTTTGACACGGCTCGTGGTACTGTTGCTTCGCATGATGTTGCCAACTCACGTGGCACTGTTGCTTCTCATGATGTTGCCAGCTCACGTGGCACTGTTGCCTCTCATGATGTTGCCAGCTCACGTGGCACTGTTGCCTCTCAAGAAGTTGCCAGCTCACGTGGCACTGTTGCTTCTCAAGAAGCTGCCAGCTCACGTGGCACTGTTGCCTCTCATGATTTTGACACGGCTCGTGGTACTGTTGCTTCTCATGATGTTGCCAGCTCACGTGGCACTGTTGCCTCTCATGATTTTGACACGGCTCGTGGTACTGTTGCTTCTCATGATGTTGCCAGCTCACGTGGCACTGTTGCTTCTCATGATGTTGCCAGCTCACGTGGCACTGTTGCCTCTCATGATTTTGACACGGCTCGTGGTACTGTTGCTTCTCATGATGTTGCCAGCTCACGTGGCACTGTTGCTTCTCAAGAAGCTGCCAGCTCACGTGGCACTGTTGCCTCTCATGATTTTGACACGTCTCATGACACTGTAGCTTCTCACGATGTTGCCAGCTCACGTGGCACTGTTGCTTCTCAAGAAGCTGCCAGTTCACGTGGCACTGTTGCCTCTCATGACGTTGCCAGTTCCCGTGGCACTGTTTCCTCTCATGATGTTACCAGCTCACGTGGCACTGTTGGCTCTCATGATGTTGCCAGCTCACGTGGCACTGTTGCCTCTCATGATGTTGCCAGCTCCCGTGGCACTGTTGCCTCTCATAATTTTGACACGGCTCGTGGTACTGTTGCTTCTCATGATGTTGCCAGCTCACGTGGCACTGTTGCTTCTCATGATGTTGCCAGCTCACGTGGCACTGTTGCCTCTCATGATTTTGACACGGCTCGTGGTACTGTTGCTTCTCATGATGTTGCCAGCTCACGTGGCACTGTTGCCTCTCATGATTTTGACACGTCTCGTGGCACTGTTCCTTCTCATGATGTTGCCAGCTCACGTAGCACTGTTTCCTCTAATGATGTTACCAGTTCACGTGGCACTGTTTCCTCACATGATGTTGCCAGCTCACGTGGCACTGTTGCTTCTCATGACGTTGCCAGCTCACGTGGCACTGTTGCTTCTCATGATGTTGCCAGCTCACGTGGCACTGTTGCCTCTCATGATGTTGCCAGCTCACGTGGCACTGTTGCCTCTCATGATGTTGCCAGCTCACGTGGCACTGTTGCCTCTCATGATGTTGCCAGCTCACGTGGCACTGTTGCCTCTCATGATGTTGCCAGTTCACGTGGCACTGTTGCCTCTCATGACGTTGCCAGTTCCCGTGGCACTGTTTCCTCTCATGATGTTACCAGCTCACGTGGCACTGTTCCTTCTCATGATGTTGCCAGCTCACGTGGCACTGTTGCCCCTCATGATGTTGCCAGCTCCCGTGGCACTGTTGCCTCTCATGATGTTGCCAGCTCACGTGGCACTGTTGCCTCTCATGACGTTGCCAGCTCACGTGGTACTGTTTCATCTAATGATGTTGCCAGCTCCCGTGGCACTGTTGCCTCTCATGATTTTGATACGTCTCGTGCCACTGTAGCTTCTCAAGAAGTTGCCAACTCACGTGGCACTGTTGCTTCTCAAGAAATTACCAGCTCACGTGGCACCGTTTCCTCTAATGATGTTGCCAGCTCACGTGGCAATGTTGCATCTCATGATGTTACCAGCTCACGTGGCACTGTTGCCTCTCATGATTTTGATACGTCTCGAGGCACTGTAGCTTCTCACGATGTTGCCAGCTCACGTGGCACTGTTGCTGCTCATGATTTTGACACGTCTCGTGGCACTGTTTCCTCTCATGATTTTGACACGTCTCGTGGCACTGTAGCTATTCATGATGTTGCCAGCTCACGTGGCACTGTTGCCTCTCATGATGTTACCATCTCACGTGGCACCGTTTCCTCTAATGATGTTGCCAGCTCACGTGGCACTGTTGCCTCTCATGATTTTGACACGTCTCGTGGCACTGTAGCTTCTCACGATGTTGCCAGCTCACGTGGCACTGTTGCTTCTCAAGAAATTACCAGCTCACGTGGTACTGTTGCTGCTCATGATGTTGCTAGCTCACGTGGCACTGTTGCTTCTCATGATGTTGCCAGCTCACGTGGCACTGTTGCCTCTCATGATGTTGCCAGCTCCCGTGGCACTGTTGCCTCTCATGATGTTGTCAGTTCAAGTGGCACTGTTTCCTCTAATGATGTTGCCAGCTCACGTGGCACTGTTGCCTCTCATGATGTTGCCAGTTCACGTGGCACTGTTGCTTCTCATGATGTTACCAGTTCACGTGGCACTGTTGCTTCTCATGATGTTGCTAGCTCACGTGGCACTGTTGCTTCTCATGATGTTGCCAGCTCCCGTGGCACTGTTGCCTCTCATGATGTTGCCAGTTCAAGTGGCACTGTTTCCTCTAATGATGTTGCCAGCTCACGTGGCACTTTTGCCTCTCATGATGTTGCCAGTTCACGTGGCACTGTTGCTTCTCATGATGTTACCAGCTCACGTGGCACTGTTGCTTCTCATGATGTTACCAGCTTACGTGGCACTGTTTCCTCTCATGATGTTGCCACCTCACGTGGCACTGTCGCTTCTCATGGGGTTGCCAGTTCACGTGGCACTGTTGCCTCTCATGATGTTGCCAGCTCACATGGCACTGTTGCCTCTCATGACGTTGCCAGCTCACGTGGCACTGTTTCCTCTAATGATGTTGCCAGCTCACGTGGCACTGTCGCTTCTCACGATGTTGCCAGTTCACATGGCACTGTTGCCTCTCATGATGTTGCCAGCTCACATGGCACTGTAGTTTCTCATGACGTTGCCAGCTCACGTGGCACTGTTGCCTCTCATGATGTTGCCAGCTCACGTGGCACTGTTGCCTCTCACGATGTTGCCAGTTCACGTGGCACTGTTGCCTCTCATGATGTTACCAGTTCACGTGGCACTGTTTCCTCACATGATGTTGCCAGCTCACGTGGCACTGTTGCTTCTCATGATGTTGCCAGCTCCCGTGGCACTGTTGCTTCTCATGATGTTGCCAGCTCACATGGCACTGTTTCCTCTCATGATGTTGCCAGTTCACGTGGCACTGTTGCCTCTCATGATGTTACCAGCTCACGTGGCAGCCTTGCCTCTCAAGAAGTTACCAACTCACATGACACTGTTGCCAGCTCACGTGGCACTGTTTCCTCTCATGATGTTGCCAGTTCACGTGGCACTGTAGCTTCTCATGATGTTGTTAGCTCACGTGGCACTGTAGCTTCTCATGGAATTTCCAGCTCCCGTGACACTGTTGCCTCTCATGACGTTTCCATTTCTAGCGGCACTACCATCTCTCGTGGCACTGTTGATGCATCTCGTGGGACATTTGATATTAGCAGGACCGTTGTTGATGACACAGGCGACGTCCCCGGTGACACAAGCTACACTCTTACATCACGTGGCAGTATCGCTACGGGTGTCACAGCCACAGGTGATTCTCAAATCACTACTTCAGACACACAGACACACATTCAGTCAGAACACGAGCGCAGTCAGACAGCTTCTTTCGGTGCTGTGCATGGGTCACGGATCGGCCTCGCTGGCACTCAGGACAACCTCGTGTCGACGTCTGGTTTCATAGAACATAGTGACCCCAAACAGAGTCTTGACTTCGTGTCTGGTGGCGATGACCCTGCCTTCGAGCTGACCTCACGTGCGGGATCCGACCTAGCATCCGCCCAGTCCCCTATTCCGACCTTAGAGATCGCTAAGAAGGTGTCTGTTTCGGTGACGGGCGAAGCTAGCGACTCCCGTGTTCCCCAGTTTCTCGAGGGAAAGGAGGCCTCCACCTCCTCCCTCTCTCCTGCCTCCACCTCATCTTCATCTTCACTTTCTTCTTCCCTTTCCTCATCCCTCTCCCCCTCTTCCTCGTCCTTTGGTTCTACTGATCCCTCCCTCCATCTAACCGTGCATGGTACAGGACACACTCTCCAACATGAGGGAAAATTACAACTAGTGCATGAAGGTTCCGTTCCCGACGGAGTTAACGAGAAGAGCCCCTTAGTGCATGGTTCACAGCATGGTGTGAAATCCGAAGGGCGCATGGCTGTAGAGACGGCGACGGAGAAGGCGAAAGTGCATGCTAACACGAAACCCCAGCGAGGCCACGCAGAGGAAGGCCGCCCCCGCCTGCATGATGCTCTCTCTCCCCAGACCGGCGATGACTTCGGAGTAGCTAGTGGTGGCGCAGCGCTTGAGGATTACTATTACGTCGACGACCTTACCTATGATGATGAAGCAGCCACCTCTTCTCCTGCAAAGCCACAAACCATATCCGATACCACTACTACTCCCACAACCACAACTACCACACCTATCCCAACAACAACCACAACTACCACCACCACAACACCGCCGCCAACTACCCCAACACGCAGGACATCCAGGCCCCGAACACGTACACGCGTTAGAGGCCGTCCAGTAACAGGCTCCAGCAGCCGCAGCCAGGAGTCGTCTGCAGGCCCTGGGGAGCGCAGAACCTCCACTCTCCGCCGCCGCCTGCCATCCTCCACATCCACCACGGCCGAGGGAACATCTGTCACAGGAACGACCTCGACTAACGTGGAGGTTGTGAAGGATGTGGAGGTGGCGCAGGAGGAGAAGGAGGAGGTTCTGGCGACTCCCACTGCCGGTAGACGACCCGGCAGACTGAGGCCCAACAGACCCAACCCACAAACACGGAGAAGGATTGTCGTAAGGAAGAGAGTCGAAGACGACGCCAGATCAGATCAAGTAATTATTCCCTTCCATCTTCTGGTGGTGGTTTTGTAGTAATGTAAGGTATAATTATTTTTTATACAGCTTAGACCACGACTGTACATATTGTAGTTATACACGCACACAAACCTTGGCAGCCTTCCACCCTCTGTCACTTTGCTCCTGCCCCCATCCATTCCTCACGTTGTTTTGTTATTTAAAAAGAAATTGCATTATGTATATACCTGTAGTTTATGCGTAGACCTGCACCCCCAAATCCCGTACTGACTAGCCACTAAGGACTAAATCACATGTATTGCAGTTCCTGTAACAAGTATGTATCACTTATGTAGTAGTAATCTGTAGCACCTCACGATCTGCACTCTTATCAGCCTTCTTAGAAGTGCGATAAGCTGCCTCGAGACTGTTTGTTTCCTCACGTGTATGGTGGCATGAAAGATAACGTTAATAACCCTTTGACTTGACGCCTGACGATCCCTCCCCTTCTAATTTTTACAAGAAAGACCATGACCCGGTTTGACCTTTTGTTACAAATAAAAATGACATGCCAGACTTCGACGGACTTCGTCTTTGTTTCAGGACTTGATGTGTGTTGGGTACAGTCAGACTTCTTCGGGACAGACTTATCCCACGAGTTTGATCAGCCTGTGTTCACTGATCGTTCTCCAGTTTGTTCTGGT